TTTTTTTTTTTTTTTGAATGCTGTGTCTTTAATATTTGAATATAAAAATCCTCGAGGCCGGGGACCTCACATTTCTTTTTCACATTTCAAGAGTGGTGTGGCGAGGCCCTTCTTCCCCATAAAGGCCAAGAAAGGGCATGGCCACACCACTCCAGAAATGTGCAAAATGGGAATGAACTTTCCGCTAGAACATGGCCAGATGCACCGGCCACATTTTTGTCTTTTTCACATTTCGAGAATGGTGTGGCGATGCCCAAAGGTAGCTCTCTGGCTACCGGTAGTTCCAATTTAAAAAAAAAGCAAAAAACATTCTAACGGATGCATTTTTTTTTTTTTTCAAAGGATCATGAATTTACATTTACGTAATTTAAAATAAAAATTTATATTTCCATGTTTTTTGGTTACCCACAGGCAGTACAGTCGTTAGCGCCCCTGCTCGGCCACTGTCTTGCCCGCGGGATCTCGGCACCCGACAAGGGCACAGCACTAGTCACCAAGCGTGAAAAAAAAAAAAAAAAAAAAAGAAAAAAAAGTCACCAACCGACAAGACAAGGGGCCTCGCTGCACTACTCTCCACATGCACAAAAGACAAAAAAGATGCAATGTATGTTTCCATGTTCTACCAGAAGATTCATTCTCATTCTGCACATTTGGAGAGTAGTGAAGCGAAGCCCCAAGAGCCATCACATATCTCATAACAAATACAAATACAATTAAGGACGACAAGCTGCCAGGCATCACCTGCAGCCATCATCTGTCGTCTACTGACCGATCAGGAAGAGAGCCTGGGGGTTTTCATGGTCGATGTAATCGACATCGACATCGAGATCGAGCGCCGAGTGCGCCGAACAGAAGCCCTGGGGGGAGGGGGGATGGGCAGCTTAGCAACGACAACAGACACACGGGCGGCCGCAAACTGAAACAGCTGCGTGTGAGCACGAGAGCACGAGAGCGAAGCCGTGGGTGCGCTGCATGTGAGAGACAGACGAACACCCCACACCCCACACCC